GGGGGGTGAAAATGTGTACATTTTTCTTATTTTGTTTTTAAATATTATATATATTTTTACATTTAGCACTGCCCTTCAGAAGCTTCAGAAGATACTTACATGTTTCCCAGAAGAAAAAATCGGTACAATTTACCCTGATCATCAAATTCAAAATACCTCATAAATGATTCATTGATTTGTTGGATGGACTTCCTACCAGGAATGCACTATATTGCATGGTCTATATTTTCCACTCCTGATTGCAGGGTGCTCAACATAAACAGTATTTAATACTAATGCATACTTTGCATGAACTGTGTCTTACAGCTCTGCCGCTTCACAGCACCTGTGCCTCATCTGGCCGTGTATACAGGCATTTGTGAAGCGCAGTCCACTGCCTCCCCTGGGCTCATGACGCTGCCCAACAGTGCTGCCTGCCCATCTCCCATCAGCGTCGCCATTGACAGCACTCCAGCCTCTGAGAGGAGGTTTGACGGCAATGGAGGGCCTTCCTCCTCCCATTTCCCATCTATTGCAGAGGCGTCAGTATCAGAGGAAGAGAACCAGCCACCTGCCCCAAAGTCTCGCATGACTCTGTCACTGAGCAGACTCCTCCGCAGAGGATGCAACGCTCCATCCGTCTTTGCCAGCCTATCTCCAAAATGTGCTGTGGCTTCAGGAGGAGGCAAAGTACAGCCGCTTGGAGTGGAGCCGCTTGCACAACCTCAGCCCAGAAGAATTGCAAAGTTAGTACACGCACTTTTTGGCCTTATTTTGATGTGATTTTACAATATATGACAAGTAACCAAACTGCTTTCACAGCTTTTTTCAAATCAAAGTTGACATCCCACCTGAATGCCGCATCTACCCCATTGATTCAGAAGATGAGGAGGACGACAGTCCTGATAGAAGAGGAGGTGTGAAAGAAATAATTTGTCCATGGGAAACTGTCACCAAGAAAGATGGAGCTGGATAGACGAGTCATAGATGAGTCAGTTGAGAGGAAAAAAGTACACTGAACTGACACTTGTGTCATAAATATTTTGTCTTACAACCCCGAGAATGCTGTGGTAGTAATGTATGAAGTAATGTATGATAGCTTTTAGGTAGTGCCTACATGTTATTGCAGCCAATGATCTGGTTATAATATCTTTAAATGTTGGTTTTATATACATAAATTCGTATTCTGATGTCACTGTTCTTTTATGACTGAAGGGGCCTTATTTTAAGAGATTTTTTTGTTTGTTTAACTATCATCAGTTTCTTTAGTGGTGCGGACAAAAGATTTTGTACTGGGCTTGTTCACTGTTTTATATAGCTGCAAAACATGCATAAATGTGAATTGCTTTAAGAAATGTTATTTTCATAGAAGTAAATCTAGTGAGGCAGTAAAGCGGAATGTGAATACACATTTGCTGTCTGAATGTATAACCTTTAAAATGTTTACAGTTCACTTCAGAATGTGAATTTGTTCATGACTCATGTTTAAATTGTGTAAGTGCCTCAATAAATCATTCAAAGGTAGTTATTTTGATGTGCAATTGGTGTATATACTGCATATATTTAGTATCCAGTGTAACTGGCATTTTGTATATTCTTTATTGTATATTTTGTTCCTTTTCGGATCAAATGTCTCTACACTACAGAGGAAACTAGAAGAAAAAAAACTGTAGTGATGGGGACTTTTATTTTAACACAAAGTAACCTAAATCCAGCTTCTTATTTTCATAGCAGCATTATTCAACGCCATTGGT